GCCATCGCCGCCGCCATCGCCGCCGCCGCTGCCGTGCCCTCTCCTCGCCCCGAAAGCTCGGCGCTTGCCGCCAGCGTCCCGGCGCCGCGCCCGCTGCCGGTGCCAAAGATGGCGGCATCGCCGCACGGCGGCTGCGACGAGTAGAAGTGCACCGAGTACCCCGCCTTCAGCGCGTAGCCGCCGCCCGGCCGCGGCTCGAGCACCGATCGGGCGGCGTCTCCTCCAGCGTGGAGACGGAGCTGCGCGAGGAGGTAGCGCAGGAAGGCGCGCCGCGCGCACACCTCGGCGTGCCCGTCGTGAAGGCAGCCGCCGCTGCGCTCCGCAGCGATGGCCTTGGCGGTCAGGCACTTTGTGCCGGTCCCGAGCGCCACCACTTCGAGGGCGTCGCTCGCCGAGCGCAGAGCGATGCCTGCGAGCACGGACCACTCGCCTGCCTGCGGCTTGCCCGTTGCGGGCAGGGCGGCGTACGCGTCGAGCACAGCGAGCCGGATGGCCGCAGCGTCGGTGTCGACTGCGGCGTCGTCCATACACACTGACACATACATCCGCAAGGCAGTTCGTCCAGGGTTCCAACTTTTTCCGGGTATGGTATGGTGTGTCCTGACCGCCCAAGACTAGCCCTACCATACCCCAAGCAGGTCTGCCAGAGGCGGGGGGTATGGTCTCGAGCTGGGTTGACCATACCATACCCTCCCGCAAAAAGCGCTTCGGCGGTTCGTGGCCTGGTGCACTATAAACACCGAGACGTGTAGAAATCTCATGGCGCCGCGCTGCCACCCTAGCCTTGGGTTCGGGCTCGCGGGTACTAGTCGCCGCGAATGGTTGGCGCGCAGGTCCTGTGTCTCGTCGAAAGCCAGGGCGGCATCGCGCCGCCAACGAAGAGAATCATGCTCGCCCCGAGTATCTAGATATGTTTGTAAACATGTGCATTCGCAACGCAGTTCGTCCAGGGTTCCAAAAACTCCGAGAAACCCTTCGGCTCGCTCCTTCCTCATCGCAAACCCTGTCAGCAGAGTCCTCCTGCGGGAATGTACGTAAGAGCTACATGGGGGGGGGGGACACTGAAAAAGTGCCTACCTGTTGCAGGGCCCTCTGGGGCGGTCAAAATCCTACCTACCTATTGCACAGGGAGCCGGAACCCAGCGGCGCCGAGGTGGAGGATGGCTGCCTCAGCGACCCATCCCGGCGGCTCCACTCGCCCACGGCCGGTCGTGTGCTTCGACTTTGATGAGACGCTCGCCGTGTGCACCGGCCACGCGGCGTGCGCCGACCCGCTCCGCCTCTTCGGCGGCGCCAGCCGGCTCGAGGCGCTGCGGTCGCTGCTCTCGTCGCTGCGCGGGCTCGGCGTGGCCTGCGGCGTGTGCTCGTTCAACTACCGCGCTGTCTTCGAGCCGCTCCTCTCCGCGGCGGGCCTGCTCGACCTATTCGACCGCGACTTGCTCCTCGGTGCCGAGGTGTTTGAGGAGGGCGGCGCGCTGCACTCTCCGCCTCCGCGGCTGAGCGGGGTGGATGGGCTGACCGCCGAGGACCGACGGGCGGTCGAGCGCGAGCTGTTCCGCGCGGCGTGCGCCGCCGAGAGCAAGGGCGCGGTGCTGCGCCGGCTCATCCTCCCGCGGCTGCGAGGCGTCGGCGAGAGCGAGGAGGATGAGGCGGTGGCGCGGCTCTCGCGGCCGCCGGTCGGGGTGGTCGTGCCTCGTACGGGGAGCGTCGATGTCAGCGACTCTGGCGCCGAATTTGTGCTCTTTGTCGACGACTGCGCCGAGAACCTGTGCGACGTGCGTGCCGCCAGCGAGCACTGCGCCACGCTACTCTCGCCGCCAGACGGGCTGAAGGAGAGCGACTTTGACGCCGTCCTCCTCTGGGCAAGAGGGGCGTCCGCCGGGGCAGGTGGCGGGGAGGAGGGGTGCGTGACGGCGCGTGGCCCGAGATCAGATGAGACAGCGTAAGCGCGCGAGGTACGCTCTCTGGAGAGAGACTCAAACAGCGCGGTGAGACCCGAGCTGCGCGAGCAGAGTTGAGAGACGGTCTGCCGACCGATCAGTGTGCTCTCTTTCGGAGTATAGGATGACTACTGAGTAAATAAATAAAAACGGACACCTCTCTACTGTGAGATGGGGAAAAAGGAACAGGTCCCCGCCCTTTTGCGATCTTTGTGCAGGGTGTTCTTTGTGGGTGTGGTCGGCGACGGTAGCCGGGGAGCGGGGTCCGTCCGCTCCCCGATCGCGATGGGGGACGACTAGCTTCTAGCACTAGCCGTCTTCCACATGGTCCAGTGACTACTGAGTACTGTAAGAGGGGCCTCCTAGATATCGTCGTAAATAAAGGACAAAATCAGTAACCAGCCTCCGGCGGGGCCCCCCGCTACCATCCAAACCCGAGTACCGGTCTACTATCATAGGTAGAGGCTCAAGTGTGACATATAAGTCCACACCCATACACATGGCACATGCACAAAGCAACTCTCACGGCACACGGGCACCGGGTGGAGCGGCGGCGGCGGCGGCAGCAGCACGCGCGGGCGGACGGATTCGGACGGGGCGGAGCAGCGACCGCCTGGGCGGCCGCTGCTCTGTCTGCCAGAGCGCGCCGTCTGCCTGCGCAGCTCGAGCGCGGTCAGGTGCGAGGACGCGTGGCGGCGCGGGGAAACGCGGCGGCGGTGGCGGCGGCGGCGGCGGCGGCGGCAGCGGCACGCGCGGGCGGACGGATTCGGACGGGGCGGAGCAGCGACCGCCTGGGCGGCCGCTGCTCTGTCTGCCTGAGCGCGCCGTCTGTGCGCAGCTCGAGCGCGGTCAGGTGCACAGGGAAGCGTGGCGGCGCGGGGACGCGCGGCGGCGGTGGCGAGCAGGCGAGCGGCCCGCGCGCGGCGAGGCGGACAGGTGATCGGCAGGCGGGTGATGGGCCGGAGAGTGACCGCGCCCAGCGATCGGAGCGAGCCGATCGTCGCTCGGCCGCAGCTGACCTCGAAGGCGTGCGGAGCGCGACTGTCGGTGTCGGAGGGCGGCCGTCATGTGGCGAGGAGGGAGGACGACAAGTGCGCGTCGTACGGGTCGCTCTTCATCGGCCAGTCGAGCGGACGGGCGTCGGTCAAAGCAAAGAGGGCCGGTGGGGGCCGGTGAGGCCGGCGAGATTCGTTGCGAGATACGGTTCGCGCCCAAACAAGTTTGGACGCTCTGGGGACGCGCCGAAAAACCAGGCCATTGGAAAGGGGGCACTGGGGCGGCCAAATTCACACCTCGCGGGACTACTTATGTTTTCGTAAACGTAGTTGTGGCCCCCCGCTACTTCGCACGAGTGCGACTGGGTAGCGGGGGGCTAAAACACAGCTTCACAGCACACAGGAGACACAGGTCACAGCATCTCAGAGCTTATTCGTTCGGCTTCGGGGACGACGCCCCCCCGGGGAGACCTGTGTCGTGTGTGTGTCGGCTGTCGCGACTCGCGCGAGTCCCCTACAGTTTTAGTCTGGACGATTTTTTGCGCTATCCCCCCGTATCTCCCTCTATCTCCGCGTATTCCCCTTTATCTCCCCGTATCTCCCCCTATCTCCCCGTATCTCGAGCGTATCTCCCCGTATATGCGTATCTCGAGCGTATCTCCCCGCCGGTACCTCTCCCGTGGTGGATCTCGTCTAGGGTCTGCTATGGCGGGACCGCTATCGAGTACGTATCTCCCGGTATCTCCCGGTATCTTGAGCACTTGAGCACTGGATAGGGTCGATTCCGCATGGTACGGGACCCCTCGATCGTCTCGCCCTCCCTCGCTGGTGTGCTCATTGGGGGTAGAGCCTCTACAACAAACTCTACAACAAAATCGCGCTCTACATCGCTCTACAACGCAGGCGCCTCGTCACGCGGCGGATGTAGAGCTCTACAGCTCTACAGCGCTCCAGAGCGCTCTGCATCTCTACAGCTCTACAGCGCTCTACACTCTACATCCTCTACACCCTCCCTCAGGGCAGCATCTGCTGCTCACACCGAGGACCTGGTAGCGCTGCTGTGCCGCAGCGGGAGCGCGGAGGTGGGAGTTTGATGAGTTGGATGATGGATGGAGATGATGGTTGGTTGTGTCGGCCACTACTTCGGAAGAGACCGGCCCCAGCTTCGGCTGAGGGCTGACAAGCTGCCGAGCCCAAATCACTGTGATCTGTGTTCTGTGATAGCCGTGATTTCTTGTTGGTTTTCTAAAATCTCCTCTCTACTTCGGTGTTGACGCTTGACGGATGACAAATTTATCTGTGCCTGAGGAGGACTTCAAGGGTTGTTTTGGACTTCAACCTCTATGGCGAGGGCGACGGCTTCTAAGGAAGCCGTCGTCTGCACCTCTTGCCTGTCGTGTACGTATGTATGTAGGAAGGTGTGTCGTGAACATTTTCAATGTATGTGGCTCTTACGTACATTCCCGGAGGAGGACTAGTTTTGCATTTTCTTTTCGCATGTGCTTGCTTTACTTCGCATTTCTGGCCGAGCAGTCGTCCGATGGCCTCTCCGCCGTAAATGAGCCACCCCGAGACTATCTACCCCGCGCCCGCGTCTTACGAGAGGGCGCAGGCCGCCCTCGCCGCCCTCGACACCGCGCGCGAATCGCTCCGCAGCTCCGAG